TATTACATGAATAAATGTATAAATCTAGAATGGCGTTGGGTTATTAATTAGGGATTATTATTTGAGTATAGTACAAATAAAAATAAAAATAAAAAGGAAGAAAAAAAAAAGAGAGGGAATAAATAATAATATAAATAATAATAATAATGGGTATGGTAATAAAATAAATAATTAATTTTCTGTTGGTATGTGTTAATGTGTAATTTAATTAAAAATTAATTTACTTATATAATTATATTAAAATATTGGGTCAAATGTAATTATCTTAATTGTTATCCTAATTAATTCTTAAGATAGGTATGAATCTCGGAGTGAATCAGAAACAATCTGGGAAGGGATTCGAATCGGCCACGTGTCGGCCAATCGGTGGACTCATCTCACTATAAATAGTGAGAAGTTGCTCAATCTGTGGAAGTAAGAAACAGAAAAGAAGAAAGGAAAAGAAAGAAAGAAGAAAGAAAGAAAAGAGAGTGGAAGAAATACGTAAATAAGTTGGGTTAGTGGAGTAAGGCTAAGGGTCACTATTAAGGTGAGTTATATTATACCTTGAGTTACCAAAATGTATTTTATTTATGTTTTGACTTACCAAAATCTATTTTATACAAGTTATATTTTATTAGTATATTAATAAAAGTTATGTTTTATAAAGATTTCAGTTACGTGGTTTTATTTCTGAACCCTATTTGCTTAAAAGGAAACTCATGGATATGTTTGTTTTTATTTTAAAGAATATTTGGCTATAACCTTATGTGAAAATATGTTTTGTGAATACCACCACGGGAGTCCCATGCCTTGGGGGACTTAAATAACCATTGGCTTAGTGATTGACCACTTTGTGGCCCAGTGTTTGTCATGGATCCATTGACCAGTGTAGTGCTAGTCACTTAGTGATGTACCGTGGTTATAGTGATTATTTCAGTCTCTGGCACTTAATTAAATTATGTATTCAATTCAACTCAATTTATAATGTTTTTAGCTTAAATAAATATCCATGGCTATTTTGTGCCCTCATAGTATAATATTTCTCACTCTGCTATGTGCTTATAGCTGTTACCCCTTTCAGGTGACGAGGTTTAGCGGGATCAAGATGGAAAATGAATCGCTATATTGTTTTGTTTTTTTTTGTTTTTTTTTAGATTTCTGTCTTCTATTATTAAACTCTTGTAATATTATGAAGCTCCAATGACTATGTTTATTACCTTTAAAATAAACAGTTGATACCCAGTTACTTATTCTAATTTATTTAAATTATCCGTTTGTGTTGTAAAATTTTCCGAATTACCTTATTTTATTTCATTTATCTTGTTACGACATTAAACCATTGGGGTACCGGGTTTGGGTCGTGACAAATAGTAAATCATTCGAAATGAAATAGAAAGAGAATGAGGAACTTACATAATGGAGCTGAAGAAATAGATGCCAGAATGGAGTTCACCGAAGTCAGACGGTGAGCATGGCTAAAACCAGGTTAGTAGGAGGTGATAAACGGACTAGTTACAGAAAGCTTCAAGGCACAACAACGGCAGTTTGAGAAGAGGATTGTAGAGAGAAAATCTGAGCAAGAGAGAGATTGTATTTGCAAAAGTGAAAAAACGGAGAGAGAAGGAAGAAGTTTTGTTAAAAAATGAAAAGGCAGCAAGCATGATGAAATTACCTTGGACAAGGTGCTTGTCAGGTAGCGTAGCAGCTTCAATGTGACTTGATGGCGCGTGACAGGTACGAACCAATAAGAAGGGAACACGTGGAAGAAACAGTTGGGGCAATGGAGCGTGACAGCTCATGAGCAATAGAGATTCTTGAAATTCTTGAACTAGTGGGGTAATGACCTTGACAGGAAGCGATCTCGATTGAGATGTTAAAAAACTTGGTTCTTGATTCTTGATTCTTGATAAAAGGGACATTTGAGTCCTCGTTACCCAAAGTCGACGAATAATGATCTCGGTCGGAAAAGTACATTTATAGGTTCCATCACCTCAGTTGTCGAGGTAATAGAACCTAGGGGGTAGCTATAGAGAGGTATTTTGCTAATGACGCCACGTGGCTCAGGTGTTTCCGAGATGTCAGCCAAGGTGCCAGGTGGGCAGGTCACGTTGCCGAGGTGGTTACGATATTGCTGAGGTTTGGTGCGATAATGCCGGAATCCCGAGATATTTGGATAAGGGACAAGAGTCCTAGCTAAGAGGAGGCTCTTAGTCTGAATAAGGATAAGGCTCCTGAGGAGTTTATCCCTATCTAGCTGAGAGTCCGAGATGAGCATTGAGCTTAAGTTTTACGAAGTGAGACTTCTAGGGAATTAGGTCATTGCTGGCTATAAAAATGAGGCATCCTTATGGGTCTAAGGTATGCTTTAACTTGTGCATTGAGTACTTGTGTGAGATCTTTGAGAGATTGTTTGACTGACTTGATCGTCAGAGTGCCCCTGGGCGGACGAACCACCACGGTATTCTCATTTTCTTATTGGCAGGTGGTTGGCTTAATCTATTTTGCCTTGTGCTCTCTAGCTAAGTTCTTTGTTTGGTTGTGTGTTCGGAAATCAACACCTACACATGAAAAAGTTAAGGCGAAAAAATACATCATTGTCTATTAATCTCAATTAGATTGGCACATACAGAATAGAATAATAATTTATCTCCTAATTTATTCTTTTAATTCCACCTTTAATGATGTGAAACTAGGGAAGATAAAGATGAGAGGGAGAGGAGTGTGGAACTGTTTCATATAATTGTGTGCCACATCATCGAAGGCAAATTAGATAAACAAAATTAAAGAGATATAACACCATTTTATAAAATAAGTCAATCGTGAGAAAACACTAAAATAAGCAAAGAAATCAGCCCCAAAAATAAATATTAAGCAAGGTGCCAACTTAAAACCCCAAGCAGAAGCAAAAGAATAAAAAACACCCAAACCCAACAAATCCAAACCACCGACACTAACACAACAATAAAGCAACTAGCCAAGCAAGATAGTAGAGCAACACTATAAAACAGCCCAAGTCACAAAAACAACAGACCACTAACGAACAATAACCACACACAAATTCAAGGGGGTTTACCAGTATTTTCTCAAGGGGAGATTTCGGTTCAATTTTTAATAGTGGAATAGGAGGCAAGACTTAGGTCTTTACAAAGGGTGTGCGTGAAGGTGTCAATTTAATGATTAATCATTAATTTTCGTTGATAAAAAAAATTTTAAGTAAAAAATCACCACACATAAATAGGCGAAGAATATCAATGTATCATGAGAATGCGATGAGCGAATATATATATATATACACACTAGTGAATTATTCGTGCCTAAAGACACTCATATTTTTTTTTAAACCACAAAAACAATCCATTAAATGGTGAAATTTAATTTCGTACAAAAAAAAAAAAAAAAAAAATTCCTACCACTCATGTGGACTGTGAAATTAATGTGAAAATCATTAATTACATCAACTAAAAACAACTTGAGAATAGAAATGGATCTTTATTAGAAAATGAAATTATCTTGAACGTCTCTTACTATCCAAACTCTATGGCCGATGTCTTGCTAATTTTTTCATTTTAAGGGTTTTTGGCCCTAGTAATAATTTTTTAGAAGGACAACACAATTATTATTATTTTTTAATATTATTTAGGTTCTCCAAAACACATTGTGACAAAATTTTGTAACTTTTTTTAGTCAAAAATTTCAAAATTTAATAACTTTTGATCTAGATTTCTATTATTTATAAAAATTTTATTTTTGAAATCTTTTCATCAAGATCTATAAAACAAGATCCATGATGAACACAATTTTTTTTTATTTTATATTTTTTTTTGAGTTGACGAAATTTCATTGACCTAAGATAGGTTAGTGAAATTTTTATAGATCTGGTTTGAAAGATTTTGTTAATAAAATTTTTAAAATATAAATTTTACAAAAAATGGAGATGTAATAAAAAAAAAAGTTATTAAATTTTAAAATTTTAAAATCACTTAAATAATGTAAAAAGTGAGATAAAGAAATCTAAGCTACTAAAATAATAATACTGGGGGATTTTAATTAGAAGAAAAATTATCTTGGATCCGGTGTCGTTGTTGTGCAGTCCGTGGGGCTCATTTCGGGTCCTATTTTAATGATCTGAACTGTTCAAATTTAGAAAATATTAAGAACAATATTGTTGTAAGAAATCAAATTGATCGGATATCAATAATATTTTCATCAAATAAAATTTGTATTCAGTTTGATACATATATATTCAATTTTTTTATATAAATATGTGATTTGATAAATAGGTTATTGATATCCGATTAATTTTCTTTTTTACAGATATATTGCTGTCAATATTTTCTAAAATTTAACTGTTCAGATTATCAAATAGAATTCAAAATGAATCACATTGGTCGCACAAGAATCACCGTTGTACTTCATGCACAACAATGATACTACATTCAATATCTTGGACATTTCCTATTACCCAAACTATATAGAAAATGATTTGCTAATTTTCTCCACCCAAGCCTAAACCAAATTTAAAATTGGATAAATTACAAATACACATTTGAGATTTGATTAAAATACAAATCGCTCCATATGATTTTGAAAATTACATTTCATTCACTGAGGTTTTTAATTTCATAACAAATTGCCCATTTTATTAATAAATCATAAATTCAATTAACAATTTTTAATGATATTAAAAATATATTTCAACTAATAATTTAACTAATTTTATTATTGTATATGCAATTATAAATTTCATTTTTTTAGTTAATTCTGTTAAATAAAAAATTCTAATAAGGGAATATTTGTAATTCTTTAAACTACGAGAGACAATCTAATATTTTAAACAAATCTCAAAAAAATTATTTGTAATTTACCCTTTAAAATTACATTATCCAAGCCCTAAAAATTTTCAAATTAAATTGTTGAGCCACACAGGCGAGACCTATCCATGGGCTGAACTTAAAAGGTCTAAAAATGTGGGCCTATGGGCCGGACTCCATCAGCCCTTATCAGGATGGGAAACCCTAATCGCTAAAACCCTTTATTTAAACGTTGTTTGCTGCTCAATGCTTTGCCAATCTGGATCTTCCTGAAAGCGATGATTTCCTGTCACCTTCTCGATTCATAGGTTTGTAGATCTCTTGATTTCAGTTTTTATATTCGCCTACTGCTTAATATGTTCGATTATATTCATAATCTGATCTTTTTTGACGATTCGATTAGATTATGACACTCACAATTAGCTTTTAAATGTACAATATATTTTTGATTGTTTGCATTTGTTTACACTCTCCTTGTGTTGCAATTTAGAATGCACAAGGAGATATAAACAGATGCAGAAAGTGAGAAGGTTGGCTTACCAGCCCATTGCATATCTTTCTTTTATTGCCTTGGCGTCAAATGGACCTACCGATATTCAAATCTCCCTTCTGTTTTTTTTTTTAAATGATTGTTTGTGTATTTGCTTGTTTTGTAAGCATTTATTTGCTCAGTAGAATCATATAGTCATAATTTGTTTGAGAAAAATGGTAAATGATGATTGTTGTCTTATCCTACACACTGATTAATCGTGTTGATTACAACTCCGCTTATTGTCTGATGCCACTATTTGAATTCAATATATATATATATATTTAGTAATTGTTTACTTAAATTTTATTTTTCTGATTTTGATTTTTGTTTACGGTATTTCTCTTATTAAATCTTGATTTTATTTGGTTGATGCTATATTGGGTGTTTGATGTTTGTGTTCAAATGGGTAATTGGGTGGTCTTATGTTGGAGTGCTTTTTATTTTCTTTTTTTATTTGTCTTTTAATTACTTCTGGTTTTCATGTGGGCTCAAGAATAGTAATGTTCTTAGCTCCTTCTTTTTCATCAAATTTGTAGGAATAAAATTTGGTTAAAAGCTTGATTTGATTTGGAATACTCTAATTTGTTTTTTCTTGAAAATTTCTAAATATATCCTAAAATCATGTTTTAATCATTTTTTATGAAAGAAAATATCTTCAATCTTTGCTCTTTTTAAAATTTCATCAAATTTTAGTAAAAATATAATTTTTGAGAATTTGGTGAATAGTTTGGTTCATCTTTGATTGGTGAAAAATTGCCCATATTTGACAAAATGGTTGGAGCATATTTTGGAAATGCTCTAAGGGCACCCATGCTTATTTTTTTTCTTCATAAAATTTAAAATTTGATGAAATAGTGTTAAAAAATCATCTCTAATCTTTTCATCAAATGTTTATCAAATTAAGAGAATTTTTCATGGAATTTGAGATGTCATTAAATCCAAATTTGACGAAAATTTAAAAAGATATAGCATTGAAGATGAATTTTATTTATTTATCAAATTTCATGAACAAAAAAATCTGTGTTAAGAAGGGAATTTTTAAAATGATTTTTATGAAAATTTGATGGAAGATTAATACATATCAAATCAAATCGTTTACTCCAATATGTAATCGAATTAGATAAAAGTGGTAGTCAGGGGTTAGAGATGCTCTAATATGAAAAATGAAAAGTTTGCATTATTTTATAAACTTTTGATGAATGATGTATTCTTTTAAATGCTATTAACAATGGTTAACATAAGTTGTTCACATTCTACACCTGTAAGCGTGTTTCAAATAGTTGTTTGGTCTTTGGTTTACACCTAAACCAAATAAACCAAAACCATGCTCACCGCCAGTTGTAGGGTGGGCAGGCATGTGATGTAATTAATCTTACCCAACCATGATACAAAACTCTGTTATCCCTCACCTCCACTATCCTCTATATATACGTGGAGTTTAGTGATTGAAGAGAAAGAAAAAAAAAAAAATTTGGCCAATGACCGCTCACTAGGAGTCTTGGGGTCTCTCCAATGGAGGTCCCAAGCATTATGCATATAATCCTATGCCTAATGCTATTGAGGAGACTCCCGGATTCCCAGGAGATAGTCATTGTCTAAATTTTTTTTTTTTTTTTTCTCTAATCACTAATCCCCACGTGTGTGTGGAGTAGTGGCGGTGAGGAGTAGTGGGGGTCTGTATCATTATTGTAATCTATGTAGACTACAAACTCTGCTTATTATCTGATGTCATCCCTTCTCCTATATAATGTGTTTTTTAGGTTGAATGGGTTGTTTTTCTTAATCTTTTTGGGTGTTGATTTCTCTATTTTAAAGAATTATAATGGAGGAATAGTTTTTACATTATTTATTGGGAAAATAACCAATTAGTTAGGATAAAAAAATAAATATCAATTTGATGTAAAAATTTATGAGTTTAATGTATCAAAGTTTTCTGGAAGAGTAATGTTAGGAATTATGGAAAACATATCATAGAAAATGATAATGAAAGATTTTTCACCATTTGATACAAGTACAATAAAACACCATACACTAATCAAAGGATCGAAAATTTTTATGAAACATTTCATGATATTTTTTTCATGATTCCTGATATTATTCTTTCTTGTAAGAGTAATGTTAGGATCATGAGAAAAATATCATAAAAGGTTCTCCACCCTTGAATTACAAATACAATAAAACACTACACATTAATCAAATTTAAAATTTTCATAAAACATTTTATGATATTTTTTTTATGATCCTATTATTCTTTTTGTAAGAGTAATGTTAGGATCATGGAAAAAATATTATGAAGATAATCTTGAAAGATTCTCTACTCTTGGATCACAAATACAATAAAACATCCTACTAATCAATGGATGAAATTTTTTTATGAAATATTTCATGATATTTTTTCATGATCTCTAGTATTTATTGTTTCTATAAGAGTAATGCTAAGATCATGAGAAAAAATATCATGAAAATGATCATGAAAGATTATCCACCTTTGGATTACAAATACAATAAAACACTACAAACTAATCAAAGGATAAAAAAAAATTATAAAATATTTGATGATATATATACATATATATATTTTTAATAATCTGTAGTGTTATTCTACTACAAACTAATCAAAGGATAAAAAAAAATTATAAAATATTTGATGATATATATACATATATATATATTTTTAATAATCTGTAGTGTTATTCTTATAAATATAATAAAATATTACGCATTAATTAAAAGATGAAAAAAAATTATATTTTTAAAATAATTTTTTTCTTTAATTTATTTAATGATGAGAAAAAGTAGACGGGCGGTCAGAACCTGATGCCGTGTTGAATGTCTGCAAATTTCCACTTTTGGAATGCCTCTGAGATCCTGGACTATGCTGTATTTTAGGTGCAAGTTCGTAGGTTTAACCTTCCACATTGTTTTTGTTGAATGTAAAAATCACTACATCTTACTCCACCTACCACCTACTACCACCTACTCCACCTACTACACACCTACCTACTACAATATATTTTTATTGTTTGCATTTGTTTACACTCTCCTTTTGTTGCAATTTAGAATGCACAAGGAGATATAAACAGTTGCAGAAAGTGTTAAAACTTCACCTACTCCACTCCACCTACTCTCCACCCACATCTCCTATATAAAGGAGACCAATCATGTACATAAAATATCAATCATCAATCAACTGGAGTAGGTGAAGTTTTAACAGTCCCTCTCAAACTCAAGGAGGATAAACAGAAACCAACTTGAGTTTGGAAAGAGTAACAAACAGGAAAATAAAAAGACAAGGTGTGTAGTAGGTGGTAGTAGGTGGTAGTGGTAGTAGGTGGAATTTTAACAGTTTTGAACACTTTTTGTTTGTGTTTGATATTGATTTTGTGATATACCATATTGCTATTATAGTATCCGTGCATTGTTTGACTTTAAGCTTAAGTTTTTTTTTTAGAATCTTCTTAATATGCTTGCTGCTATGATGAAGTTGCTAAAATTATGTCTGGACATATGAGTTGTCTGTGATTACTACTATGCTTTCTTCCGAGCAAAATGACTTTGAAAACCAAAGTAAAATCATGACTTATGTGTTATCATTATTATGTATAATTGAATTTCTCATCTTGCTTTAAAATGTAATATAGATTTGTTTCCTGTTTAGAAACTAGATTAGGAAATGAAGTATTGCAAAACTGGAATTGGACTTAATTATTTCGATTCTATGATTTGGATGATGCATAACTATGCTAATTGTTTTTCCTGTTTTAGAAACCACGCCAAATTAAATATGTGATTTTATTATGTCTGTAATCTATTCTCCAATGTCTAAGCGACCAATCAAAGTGGTGGCCTGTGGTGGTTGTCTGAGGCAGTTGCCAGCAGTGGTGGCTGATGGCGGTGATGCGTGGTGGGTGGTAGTAGGGTATGGAGTAAGGAATGAAAACTTAATTCTGAATATTATCTTATCTGATCAATTTCAAAACATTATATTTTGCCTCTCAATTATCAAAATTACTTCACTTTTATCCTATATAAGATGAGAGTTTTTGTACAAATTTTAATAGTTGAGGTTCTAAATGTATGATTTTAAAATATAAGAAGTTATAATAATATTCAAATGATTGTAAATAAGTAAACTTCAAAATTTCTAAATTAAACTAAAATAGCATACCATAAAAGAAAACATATCTAATTGGTCAACATTTTTTAAAATGGAATTTTTGAATAATTTTTCTAAAAAAGAATATATAAAAAATAAAAAATTAATTTTTAAAAAATTGAATTCCACTATTTATTGGAAGCACAATGCATCTTCGTTCATAGAGCACTCTGTTTAATTATTGCGTGTCTTACAAGCCAGTCAAATTTGTTTCAGTCAATAAAAAATTCAATCGAACTGAAAAAATGAAACTAGAAAGATAATTTTTAACTCTTATGTTTAGATTATTTATATTAAAGTATCAAAATTTACACTAAACAGGACCAATGTCCGTTAATTTACATTGGAATTTGTCATTTTTCTACTTTTTATTTTTTGTTTTTTTTTTCCTTCTACTTTGTGGGGATTATGGTTGTGGGGATCATTTATCATTTCTGCTCTCGAACTCACACCAATATTACTCTTTTCAAATCGTAACAATGATAAATGAGTTCAATAGCAACCACAATTCTCACAAACACATGTCGAGTGGTAGGAGGGGAAAAAAAATAAAAAGTAAAAAGTTGACAAATTCGAATATATTGGAGTGGTGGAGTTTTTCCGTTTGAGAGAGAGAGAGAGTTGGGGTGGGCTTAGGGACTGAAACAAGTTTGACTGGCTTGTAAGACACGCAATAATTAGACAAAGTCTCTGTGAACGATGATAGAATGCATACATGGTTATGCGTCGTGCTTCCAATAAATAGTAGAATTTAATTTTTTTTAAATTAATTTTTTATTTTTTATATATTCTTATTTGGAAAAATTATTCAAAAATTCTATTTTAGAAAATGTTGTTTCATTTAGTTTTGGATGTTTCCTTTGAAACCAATTAGGTGTGTTTTCTTTTTTTATTATGTTTAGTTTAATTTAGAAGTTTTGGAGTTTATTTGTTTAGTATCATTTAAATATTATTGTAACTTTTTATATTTTAAAATCATACATAAAGACCTTCAACTATTAAAATTTATACAAATTCTCATCCTATATAGGATGAAAGTAAAGTAATTTAGATAATTGAGGGGGCAAAATATAATGTTTTGAAGTTGATCAGATAAGATAATATTCAGAATTAATTGGTGGGGTTAAAGTGCAATTAACCCATAAAATTATGATCATTATGGTATTATTCAACTTTTAATTACATGGCCAATGCATCACTGGCTGCAACTAAGGTGATCCTGTTGTTACACGTTGGCAATTCTATTCCCATCAATTAATGACTGCAAACAAGGCAAGACATTGTTATATTTAAAATTTACCATATAATATTTTTGTATAATTTAATTATAGAATTAAACACAATTTATTATATGAAATGGAATCTATACATGTAGCTCATATCTCATGTAAAAAAGTTATATCTAATTATGTTCGAATTTTTTGTATTTAATTTTTTTTTATTATATATTATTCAGAACCCACATTGATTTTTAAACAGAAATTTAAAAATTTAACTAACAAATATTTTTTTCAATTAATTTTTTTTTTCAATTAATTTTGTTTCCAATTAATTTTATTTTTTCAATTAATTTTTTTTTCAACTAATACTAACCGAGGGAGTAATTAATAATGCTACTTTAAACCTTGGAGAGGGAATTGTAATTTTTAAAATGTGAGAGGTGTCAATGTAATTTACTCAATGAGGGCAAAATTGGTATTTAAAAAATTTAAATTGCTGGAGGGAGCAATTTGTAATGAAATTTTAACGCTCAGGGAGGGAGATGTAATTTCCAAAAGGTGAGAAAAGAATTATAATAAACATAAACCTCAAAGAGTGTCAATATAATTTACCCTTTTTATATTGCCCTTCTAATCTTATTTTAAAGTTCTTTTGTTATATATATATATATATATATGATTGCACGTCTGATCTCAGGTGTTTAGTCATCATTAAAGAGTACACCGATTATTGAGTAGGCTTGTGTTGTGTTTTGTTTGTGAACATTGATTTCAGGTAATGCTTGTGCTGTGTTCTCTCTGATTTTTGAGTATGCTTGATTATGGGCCTGCAATTTACTATGAATATATTTTAAAATTGGGTTAATTACACCAAGACCCTATCACTTCACCTTATCACTAAACTTGTACTGTCCATATTGACCCTTACATTTATAAACCTTGTATATAAATGTACAAATAAATACATCCTTTTTAAGAGCGGTCTAGAGAGGTAAAAATGATACATTTTGATAGTTAAATTGAAAGGGTTAAAATGTACAAGTTTATAGATGAATGGGTTAAAGTGATATTTGTTAAAGGTTTAGTCTCAATGGGAG